AGATCCACTGATGCAGTGATCCACAGCACTGGAGATAAACAGAATGCTTGTGAAATTGGTTTGTCTTACTGTAAAGTGTAATGGTAAGGCACATTTTACTTTTAGTGCTTGAGCACTTCCTGTTCTGAAGGCCTTGTGGAGATTTGTCGAGGGAACCTTATTGGTTTTCGGGGGAAGGTTTTGCATCTTCTCAATCAATAACGAGACATTATTTCGGATCAAAGGTCATTAGTGTGCCATGAGCCGTTCCCTAATCTAAGGAAGGAAGTCATTTGTAATAGGCTGCCAACGCAACATCTGCTGTACACACAATATGGTGGCTATTTATTTTATATATTTATAGCAAGATTATCTTTGTTAATCATTACCAGCTATGTTTGTTGGTCCACCAGCTACCAGCATAAAGCACATTTACCATTTAATACAAATTATTGATTTAAACCAAGGTTAAACCTGTAAAAGTTAAATAGAAATGTGCTGGTTTTTCAGTTGGATTCAGCTAATGTCTTGTGTTGTATAAATACAAGTGTAGGACTTGATTGGAAGGCATTTTAAAGCATTTGTTGGAAATGCCATGTCGGCTATGAAATACTAAGAAAGGCCTCGCCCAGGTTTACCTTACAAAGAACTGCATCTCCCTCTAGTGTTAAAACAATGTTATTGTGACATTTATTGGTAGTAGGACTTACACTACACTTACACATTTTTTTAAAAAATGTCTTTGAAAGAAGTCTCTTATGATCACTGCATTTATTTGACTAAAAATACAGTAAAAACAGTATTATTAAATTGTTAAATTATATTATGTTATAACAGTGTATTATAATTTAAAATAAAACAATAAATAAATTATATTATATTATACGTATTATAAAAATCTATTACAATTTAAAATAACTGTTTTCCAAGTCTAATATATATGGCAAAGCATGTAAATCATAGTTTCTACAAAAACATTAAACAGCATAAACTGGTTTCAGCTTTGATAAGAATAAAAACAATTTTTAATAATTGAGAACCAATAATAACGGACAATAACGGAGCAGCAAATCAGCATATTAGAATGATTTCTGAAGAATCATGTGACACTGAAGACTGGAGTAATGATGCTGAAAATTCAGCTTTGCATCACAGGAATAAATTACATTGTAAAATGTATTAAAATAGAAAACAGTCCCTTTAAATTATAATATTATTTTACAATATTACTGCAATTTTTGACCAAATAAATGCAGCCTTGGTGAGCGTAGGAGATTTCTTTCAAAATCATTGGCTCCATCTAGTGTTGTAAAAGTGATATTTTGACCTAAATTGGCAAATTATGAGACCGCAAGCATGTTTTATGGAAAATACTTAAGTTCCTCTTTAGGCTAAATGTCATGTGCTGTAGGTGGATAGCTATCAAACAATCCGTTTAATCATGTTACTTTTGTTTGTGAGAATCCAAGGCAGGTTTATTTAAATAGCAGATTTCACAGTGATAATTCAGTGTGCTTTACAAAAAAAAAAGAAAAAGAAACAAAGAATACTTTTCATTAGTTGTGCCATTTAGAAAGATTCTGCAGAACACCTGTTAATTATCTTGCATTAAGACCAATAAGATCAATAGCATGTGTGATATTTTGAAAACTAGCATAGCCTAACAAAGCTAATACATTAAAACAACATCCCTAATATCATGTACGCTCCCCTTGTGCTGCCAAAACAGCTCTGATGCATTGAGGCATGGACTGAACGTGTCCTGTGGTATCTGAGACCAAGACATTAGCAGATGCTTGAAGTCGTGCCAGTTGTGAGGTGGGGCCTCCATGGATCAGATTTGTTGGGATCAGCACGTCCCATTGTTGCTCAATTGGATTGAGATCTGGGAAATTTGGAGGCCAAGGCATCACCTTGAACTCTTTGTAATGTTCCTCAAACCATTCCTGAAAGAGGCCACAGGGAACACCGCTGCCGTGAAGGGTGTACGTGGTCTGCAGCAATCTTTAGGTATATGTGTATTCAAATGAAAGGCAGTCAGTCTGATTATTAGGGTTGCTGAACTTACCGTGTTGATTTACTGTTGTGACATGACCCAAATTTACCACTGTGGCAGCTCAAACAGTGCCATGTAGATGTAGAGAATCATGCACAACGTGCAACAGAGAAGGCTGGTACTAGAATCATTTGTTTTGACAATAACTGCACACAAAATATAAAGACCACAAAACTACTGTCATTAAAGTAGTAGATTATTCAGGTACAAATAAATGAGCATACATGTAACTGCAGCTCAATGTGATGATGACGTCATTAAATGTCCTGCACGTTGTGCACAATGTTAATGAAATGCCATTCAATACTCCATTTTACAATAGATTAATATAACTTAAAGGGGTCATATGATGTTGCTAAAAAGAACATTATTTTGTGTATTTGGTGTAATGAAATGTGTTTATGCGGTTTAAGGTTAAAAAACCTCACTTCCGGTTCTGTGAATGCGTTTCTGAAACTGCTGGTGCTGCGGGTCTGCAGCTGGATACTATTGGAAGGTTTGGATCCAAATGCAAGAGGGCAGCAGAGAGTCACGTACTGTGCTCATCACTGCAATAAATAATTAAATAAAATAGAGGACTATTTATTTATTTATTTTCTTACTTACTTAATTACTTAGCCTACAGATGTCAATGGGACAGTAACCTCCAAAATTGTACAATCTATGTAATCTACAATAGTGTAGCCTGCACCTAACGGTTGCTTATTAGTGCCTTAAAGATACATATTATTGCATTAATAGACCTTTTAACCAGGGTTCTTTTACCCCAGTGACAGCTGTACTGTCATTTTTTTCTGAGTGTAGATTTAATTTAATTATTGATACATTTTTGATTTGATGAAAGAAATAGTTTTATGCAAACCTACATATCAGAATTGAGGCTCAATAAAGTCTAAGCATGTTATGCAATAAAATGCATTTGGATCAGTATTGCCCACATATATCAAAATATGTGTATATGTGAGTATGAATACACATACCTTTCTTGATAACTGGAGTAATGATGCTGAAAATTTTGCTTTATGTCACAGGAATAAATTACATTTTAAAATATATTTCAATATTAAACAGTTTTTTAAAATTGTAATAATAATATTTCATGAATATGTCTTTTACTGTATCTTTTAATATAATTAAAATGTACCTGCCCTAAACTTTTAAGCAGTTATGTATTTAAATAAACCAAACAAAACCACAGGTTGTTTTCCTAGCCCAGAGAGGAATACTATTAATGGCAAAATAAATAACATATTTAAATATAATGCTCATGTCCAAATCCATTACTATGGATAATCTTACAATTATATTGGCTTTTCAGAGGATCAGCCGGCTTCAAAACTGATATCAGCTCTCAGCAGCTGCTGTGGTGATTTGGGGTTATGAATATGACAAGCGTTGAAATAAATTAGACAAGTATGTTGATCTCATGTACATGTGTGCTATAGAAATAGCACCATCAGTCAGAAATCAGTGGATGCCCTGTACTCTCATTTTTACTTAAAGCTTAAACTCTTAATTTTTATGATAATGCAGATCAATTTAATGATAATGCAGAACGTACAACAAGAACACAAGAAAGATGGCCAAATCACCGGTATACAGACAGCAGGGTGTGATATTAATTTAAGAAGCATGTCTGGCTTCCAGCATGATGTTAGTGATGCTGACAAACACATCTTTAACGTGTCAGCCTTCACTTTAACTTACAATAAAATCTATCCAACAGCAGAGAACAGGTGTGACCTAAAAAACCTCACAGGCTGAATATTCGGTGTGCAATGTGCAATGTGCATGATATCTTTGATATCATAGTTACTCTCAATCTGTTCATCCACCCTTCACTCTTTATCTGGAGGTACAATCATGTTGTACTCAGACATGGTCAACATCCGTGTTGAGGAAAGTTACTTTTAAAAGTAATGCATTATAATATTGTGTTATAACTAATTGCGTTACTTTTTATGGAAAGTAATGCGTTACGTTACTTTTGTTTGTTTGTTTTTAATATAAAAAAGTTCTATTTTTGGCTAATGGGAAAGCCCTTTCACACATTTCACACCTTTCACAAAGCGAAATGAATAATATTACTAGTGGGTGAATTGAGAAAAAGGACTGGTCAAACATTTCTTGAGGCCTGGAGGTGTTGTTCCTTACTTGAAGATAAGAAAGGTACCTTACAAAAGTTTGTGGTCACTAGGCCTATATGTTTTTTGTTTGTTTGTTAGTTGTTGTTTTTTTACATGTTTTTGAGAGAAGTCTCTTCTGCTCACCAAGACTCCATTTATTGAATCAAAAAATACAGTAATATTGTGAAATATTATTACAGTTTAAAATAACTTTTTTCTATTTGAATATATTTTAAAATGTAATTTATTTCTGTGACGCAAAGCTGAATTTTCAGCACGGATCAGCTTTCCGGCGCTGGAGAGAACTCAAGGAGCGGAGGCCTGCGATCGGACGCCGAGGTTGCTTTGTTTCTTCTCAATAGGTGAGTAACAACGTGTGTCTACAACAGCTAAAGTCTGCCTACACTGGACGCGATCAAACGACCGTTGAAAACCATTTGAAATTTGTGTCAGCACGTCATAATAGAACCCGGCAGCAGTTTTCTGTCGGGGATTTGTTGCACCGCGCCGCTCACGTCCGTAGACACGGTGTAACATTGGTTTTGCTTTGTTTCACAGAACTAATCGTTGCCTGGGTTGCGTACGTATATGTGGGGCGGAGCTATCAAAATAGGGGCAAGACCCTTTTGGGGTAGGGGCGTGTTTGTTTGGTGATTTCAAATATCAACATTGGCTACCAGAAATCACTTACTCTGCCTTTAATGCAGCCTTGTTGAATAAAAGTATTAATTTCTTTAAAAAAAACAAACTAAATCATACCCCAACATTTTTTGTTGCTACAAGTACATCAACAGATAGCAAACAATCATTTGAAGACTTGTATTTATTTATTTCTATCCCAGACACATTAGGTAATGTCCAACATCTTCGGTGGAAACTGATGTTGATTTATCTTTCATTTTACATTTATATTCCCCTCAAAGGGAAATTGCTTTTTTATCGTGTTTAATATTGAGCATATTGTCTTGAAGTCTTTACAAAATGCTCACACAACACACATACAAATACCGCCTTAATTAAATATATACATTCTCTTTTACTATCTTACCATATTTACAAGTCACCCCGATGAGCATCCATTCAGTGTTGCTGGCTTTTTCAAGTCCATTACGTACGAAAACATATAAAAATAAAGCTGCCTCTTCTTATTATTAACAGTCGGATGAGTTTGTGTGGCATGGTGTTAGGAAGCAGAGTGTGGTTTTCGGTTGCGTTTCGCGCGTCGGGTCGGTGGAAAGCTGATGAACTCAAAGTGTTTGGGTTGGTCTGAGTTTGGGAAGGGGAGCGGTCCTTTGTGGAGGCGCTTGATGAAGTGAACTTCCCGCTGGTTCTCCCTGGTTTTGGAGGCCTTGATGGGCCGACCCTTTCTGCTGAAGGCCACGTACCAGCCCTCATATTTAGCGTTCTGGAAAGCAGTGTAGTTGTTCTCCAGGACGATCTCTGTGAAGATGCAGTCCCTTCCTCTGCCATTAGGCTGCGCGAAACAGAGAAGAAGACTCATGTTATTTCACTGAACTTTAAACTCAAAACAGGTGAATAACTGTGAAGTTACTAAATGACTCTCTATTAATGATCAATTACTTTAATAATACATTTAATGTACATTACATATAATTCTGTAATTACTTATAAACAACGCTTTCCCCCCCCCCACACTGAAAACAAGTTTACAATGTATCATCTGAATCTGTCCGTTGCATTCTGACTTTTTCCTGAACAATTGATTTTCATATAAAGGATATATAATTTTGTATATTTTTATTTTAGGATATAATTTCTTCTTTTTTGACCTGTTATTGCCGTCTTTTAAAATATTTATCAAATAAATTAAGTAACAAAGGCGGGGTTTATTTTATGTTTTACTAATCTTACAAAAGTCATTATTACATTATTCCACATACATAATATATTGTAAAAGAATATACTTAAGTGTGAATTGAATGTAATGTTTTCAGACACTTTATTGCATGTTATTTGCAATTAAACGAAAATGTATATTAAATGTAATTAGTTGAAATAAGAGTGCTGTTTTGACCCACTTAAGTAGGACTTAAATACATCTTTATGTAATTTCATAATTACTTCTAATGTACTTCTACTGTGTTAAATTGTACTGCCGAATGCACTGACAAGCATGTATGATAAACTAAAATATACTTTTATGCCATTTCTGTTAAAACTTGTCATTTATTTATATTTAACATATTATACATTTGTAATGATTAAGTTGCAATTTACACTGTAAAAAAAAATGGCACAATGCACTGTATTAATATGAAAGAATTTTCCGTATTTATTTTTTACAGGTGTTTTACCTGTCTATCTGTGTTTACTGATGTAATATTGAATAACACACTACAGTTAAAATTATAATCAAGTACTTTACGTGCTTTATTATTTTAGTCAACACATAAAAATAAGTGTACTTATTTAAAGCATGACCAATTAAAACGGTATTATTATTGAAACTTAAGGATTTAAAATATACTTTAAAGGTAAAACCTTTAATTTGTCATTATTACAAAGTGTACTTTTTAAAAGTGTACTTAAGTGTGTTAAGAAACATAATGAAATGTGTCTCTCTTTGAGTGCACTTATGTCACCTTTTATTTCATTAGCATTATATTATACAACTACATTATACAACTAAGCACACTTCTTTTTCACAAAGGTTGGATTCATACTGACAGCTATCAGTATAGCTGTATAAAGTTGTGTTCATAGACTGCAAGTAGCCGCTGGTCATGTGATCTCAACGCGGCAGCCGCCATGATGGGCCGCACCACCAGACTTTGTTTTAGATGTTTAGTAATTCCAAATTTCCAAAAGGAATTCAAAGTGCTATCAAATGGCTTGGGTCTTATGTAATCAGTGTTTTGACTCGCTCTGCCCATCTTTATTTATTCTTCCTCACAGCCTGTGCCCTCATCTCTCAACACGCTTCACTTCATGCTCTCACTGTCTCCATCTAGTTGTCCCAGCGCTTTGTCTCATAGAGCTGAAGACATTTTTTCCACTTCCGCGAAGGAAGAAGTGGCTTAACATCTGACTAAACACAGAATGGCTGTGAAAGCTGTTTCCTTCACAGGCCTGGCCGTCGAGTCTCCGTGATCTTCATTCTCCTGTAGAAGACGCCGTTCACACCATAGCTGCTGATCTATATGTCCTGATAATACCTCACCCATCACTGCATTTAGTTTAGTTGGCATTTTGATAACTCCTGTTGTTTTTAACAGTAAATGTTATGAGTTTATGAGATATAATATGAGTTTGGAGTGACATACGGGTGGGTATATGATAGAATTTTTATGTTTCAAGATGGGATTTGATCAATCTGACCAAATTTAGATTTCTGTCACCACGTTTAAGACCAGGAGTTTTCAATCTTTTAAATGCCTTGGACCCCCAAATATGATCATCCTCATGTGAGGGATCCTCAAATATGTGTTTTCATGCATAAAAACCCAATTTAAACTGGTCTGCTAGACACTATGCTAATTTAAAAGATTATTAGAAAAATATAGTTTCTATTACATTTTGTACTCACTACTGTTAGATGTCTTTTTTTTTTTTTTTTTAAGCAGGTTTTTATTTTGTATTTATTAATTTATAAAAAAAAAGGTAAATAAATAATATTTTTTACTGTTTGTTTATTTATTTTTATGTTTACTTATTGATATGTAATATATCATTGTACTAATTATTTAATATAAATTTGTATTATTTATTTATTTGTTTACTCGTTTATTTATATCAGTTTTTATTTGCTTATTTTAATCTTATTTTATTTATTTTTACACTTCTTAAACAGTTTTTCTCGAAACTTTTCACAGCCCCCTGGCACACCATAATGGTGTGTGTCTGTGTAATATAATTATATAGCCTATTTTTTTATTATTATTATTTTGATCAAATTTTGTATTATTTATTTATTTATTTGCTTATTTTAATCATATTTTTTACCATTTATTTTCTTTACACTTTTTAAACACTTTTAATCATTTTTACACTTTTTCAACTTTTCTCTGCAAACCATTGCTGGACCCCAATTTGAAAACCCTTGTTTTAGACAACACTTTTACCCTACAACAGTGACAGGCCTACAACTTAATTATCAAACTTTTTAATGCTGTGCAAAATCCAGTTGGCTCAAAAATCGAATACACATTCCCCAGCAAAAATTAAAATACTTTCTCCTGCAAAATCTCCAATTAAGCTGGAGGTACATACCTTGCCCACTAGTTTCCCCCGGCGGTTCATGCACAGGTATCTGCCACTTTCTGCTCCTTTGATCCGAACACGACTTCCAAAGGTGTCCGTCTCCACATAAAGTCTGGCTGTAACGCAGCACAAGTGTTAGCAACAAACAAAACAGGCTACTGTAGCCTTGAATAGGCTTAGCCATTTATCAAAACCATAGAATATACTGCAGTCATAATGAAAACATTCCCCAGTTAGCTCAACATTATTGAGTGCAGTGTACAAGCAATTCCGACCTGACCCTTGAAAAGTCACCTTTGTTGGCATAATCCAATATAATCAGGCTGATTGTTTAACCAGTTAATTTAGATGTTGTCACATGAAGCATCAGTGGTTTTTAAGATTTCAGTATATTTATTACACGAATATTACAATATCAAGATTTTCAAGATGACTCCACATGTTCTCCTGAAATCCCATAAATCCTGACTAGTCAAATCAGTCTCATTTCCCCTTGCTGTTTGAAGCAAATTAACACATCCTAATCAACACAAAAGGGAAACGATTAGGCAAAGAAAAGTCTTTTGAACTATCAGCGAGTCCCTTTTCAGCCAATAAAGCAATCAGACGCGAAAACAGCGCTATCTGCACCGAAACCTACCGTGAGTTAATTACTGTAGATGAATGTGCGACTCACCGAAAGTGTTCCCGTCCTCGGCGGTGGCGCTCACTCTCTTGCCCTGGATCTGCACGTGTCTGCCGCTGGTTCTGCTGTACAGCTGATAGACGCGAACCTGCCGCCGGCTCAGCTGGTCCGTCAGAGAGCCCTGTTCCCTCACATACTGCTTAAAATTAGGAGAAGGGTGATTCTTCTCCCCCTTTTCGGTGCAAAGGGAAAATAAGATCACATGTATTTCGCTCTCTGTTGCTGGAATAGAAAACCTTTTCGTTTTGTAAATGCCAGCAAGAGCACTGATCTAACTCTGGTCTAGGCCTAACTAATATGCTATGGAAAATGATTTAGTTCTAATCTAGAGCAGTGGTTCTCGAATAGGGGCCCGCTAGAGGGCCTCAGCAAACTTAAAAGGAGCCGCAAATGATTTAAATTTATTTTAAACATTAAATTTATGTTGATTAGAATGCTATAATCACTCGACATGTAAACTGACCTCCTGTCCTATTTTAATCTGTCCAATCAACAAATATTATTGTATTAATGAAGAACATACCGTTTTTTTTAAATAAACAATCGATTCTGAAGCTTTGACATGTAACTGACTGTAAAAGTAGCTATATCAAAGGAAACATAATGGAGTCAAAAAGGTTGAGAACCACTACAAAATTGACTAAATGTATTGTCGAAGCCGTGCAATAAATATGACCCACTTTAACGTTACAGAAGAAGAAAAAAACACGGGAAAAAAAATAAATAAAATGCAATAAATATTTACCTGCGCGTGACACCACACCACGAAGAAGTGAAAAGAGCTACAAAATAAAACAAAAGTAAGGAAAGTTAGTCAATATGCTAAATATAAAAAAATACATAATATTGTGTGAATTAGATCATAGCACATTATGTTATATATTCACTTCAGCAAAGAATTTCTTATCAAAAAAGAAAATAAAGAAACATTTTCACTATATAAGGTTCTTAAATTAGTTGTATGGTTCTTCTGAGATTAAAAACGCTTTGTTTTGTTTTTTTAAACAAAAAAGTGTACAAAAGTATAGGACATAAACGTTAATTGCGGAACCCAAATGTTATTTTGTAGCGCCAGACAACATTTCTATCTGCGACCTTTATTTTTAAGCTTAAAAGCCTATAAATATAGCTAAATATCAATATACTCACATGTACAAGCAGCGCTGATTTATTCCATACATTGTGGGAACGCAAAGTGTAATGTCGTATCCCGGGTTCTCCTGAATGATAATCCAGCTCTGTGATCTCTCGATGAAATGAGCTGAGTCAAATCCATACGCCAGTGAAGAGTGCAGCAGCGCTAGATCTTCAGACGCGCGTCTCGGCAAACACACATGCGGATAAATCCGATTAGGAAAAAAACGAGCCACATGCAGTCCGGAAGATTATGGAGTTCCATCATATGTGTTTGTACAACGCAGGTCGCTGTCTAAATCATAGTTTTGATAATAATGGTGCAGTGGCTCCAGTGTGCTCTTGATGTTGTGTTGGCACTGTCACTTGTGGAGAGGCGCGTCTGGATCCCTCACTGCACCAGTGTGATAGACGTCAAGATCCCTCCCCATGAATGTTGCACCTTTTGCCCTCTTCAGAGACTCCTGAGCTGTGTTCTGCTAGATGAACATGTGGAGGTGTTTCCAACTTCTACAACATTCAAATGAACTGCATGACCATGTGACTATCCACAACCTACATATTTCTGGAGTAGGTTGTGAGGCCTCCTAATTTGGTCCCATCTGATGGATGATTAATCTTTCTGAATGAACACTGTCTTCAGATCATCCTCTGTATTTAAAGCTTTGAGGTTCGCTGGGAAAGGGGTGTGCCGCCTGATGTTTGGTTTGTTAGGGCCCATCTCAGTGTTGGTCTTTCCCCGCGAAGGGGCCACGGCTCACACCTTTTGCTAACCTGGCAGCTCTAATGAGAAAACAATGGTGGCTTTTAATCGCAGGACTCCAGCGGGCTTTTGTTAGCTCATGCGGAATCAACATCAAGCACTAACGATATAACGTCAACAGGATGCTTGCTTTCCGACGCATAGTTAAGTTGCATCGCAGCAATTAGTGCTGTCTTGCAAGTGTGACCATACCAGAGCCGCCACTTGGTCCCTTCGAATGAAAATTTGTGTGAACTTTTCCACCCTAGAAGAGTGAAACTCAAGGATTATATACTGTCAATCAGTGTTTCTTAACTGGTTTTTGCTTCAGAACCCAGATTGGTTATCAGTTGGTGATCCAACACAACCAACCCATATTTAATGTAGTATGTAATTTAGTTTTGTTTATCATTTTTGAGAATCAGGACACGTCTCACAACCTGGTCATGTTGGAATCTAATTTGTCTAGTCAAAAGTGACAAACTGTGTGACAAAATACAAGTTTGATTGGATGCACCAAAATCTGTTTGTGGTCAAAATGCTGAAATATGCATTTTGTGAGTTTCACAAGTTGATTAGCCTAATTATTTTGCTATCCTAAATGCAATTAAGTGTAATTTCCCCATCTGCTATCTGCAACCTATTAGATTGTGGCATATTTTTGGATCAAGACCCACCAGTTGAGGACCACTGTTGAGAGGCTATTTATTGCTTTATTTATAGAAAGTTATAGATTTTATACCTCCATTTTATCACACCGAGGTCCTTTTATTCAGTTTATTAATGGACTAATCTCTGAATGAATTTAAATTCATACTGATTCTTTGCTAACTGTCCATCTGACTGGGCATGATGGCGACAGACTCTTGACGTATATTGCCATGTGTTCTCCACCCATCAGTCTGTATTTTGCTAACGATAGACAGATAGTCGGGAGGTGTGAATAGTTATTGCCGATAAAGGCGGGCGAGACAGGTGTGTGTTTGATGTGAATGTAACCGGGGGACTGAATAATAGCACACGTCTTTATGTTCTAAATCTGGCATGAGTCTTAACTGTACACGCTTTTTCACTGATATCTGATTAATTAAATAAAAAAATAAAATAAATAAATAAATGCAATACGTATTAGATTAGTGTTAAATTAAAATTAGCATTACTCCTTTTTTTTAATTTTTTTTTAGAATTTAGTCAGTGTAAGCTCATGGTCAGTTTTTGGCTCATGGGCAAGCCCAGACGCAACTTTATTTCTGCACAAATTTTGTTTTGGAAGGAGAAATCTGCTAAATGGATTTTATGATGGCAAAATGTGCTAAACTGATCTGAGAGTACGGTACTCTCATTGGAAGCTGAATGCACAATCAAAATAGCCCAAATATTGGCAAAATATGTAAACAAACATTCAAAAAGCAGAGAAATATTATTATTGACAAGCACTCCAATGGACCTTTTCATGCTTTCAGGGGAAGCCATCATAATCTGAGAAAAAATTGGTATAGAAACTATTTTCACTCAGAAATACAAAGAAACAGCAAGTATCATATTGCATTAAACGTAATTTTGAAGTAGAATGACTAAAATAGTATTTTCTTATTAAACACTCCAATAATCTTCATTTTTGACTATAAAAATTAATTTTTTTTTACAGTGTAGTTGGGTAATTTTATAGTGGTAAACAGAAAATACAGCAAAAATAATTTTTGACACAATAGCAAAATGAAAAATCCATGATGGTGCTTCTATGACTTTCCAAAGGAGGAAAAATATCAAGATATTGATTACATAGTCAGATAAGAGAAAGATGTCAAATTTGCATCACTCTCCCAGTGGTTGTATTAGAAACACTCGCATAGCAGCTTTAACTGTTAAATATTTTATAATTTAACTATGTTATATATGTGTGTGTGTGTGTGTGAAACTTTTAGATTTACAATGTTAATAACTATGAAATAATAACTCTGCATCATCACAGTCTGTAAAAAGGGTCCATTCAGCCAAAATCTGCTTTCAGTGAAATTTTGTGGGTACAGGTTCCATGTGGACCTGCTTAAGGGTTATAATATTTGAAGCAATGTCCTGGAAAACTTCTCTGCTGCCCTCATAGAGTTATGAGAAACGATGTGAATTCCTCACCTATTAAGAGACAATGTCCAGTGGTGGGAAATCAAAGGAAGACAGATGTTTATTAAACTGTGTTCTGACCCTCAGAACTGTTTGACATACTGTACATTTAAACAGTCACACCCTGACAGACACATAGAGACAAAGCAGCTTTTGCGAAAGCTTGAACTGAAGACCCACAGAGGCTCTGTATGTGTGTGTGTGTGTGTGAACGCCAAGCATCAGAGGGCTTAAGCAGTGGATCTTCTCACCAGACCGGAATTCCGTCGGCCCCAGCAGGATGCCAAGGGTGTCGGACACAGTTTTTTAGGATCGGGCGGCTCAGAGCAAGAGGGATGTGATGTGTCCTAATGAAACACCACACGTCTAGCACCCCCCATGTCCCTCTCCCACTTTTTTTCCCTCCCTTGCTTCACCCCCTTCAGTTTACGAAGCGGCGGTGAGATCTTTGGCCCTGAAACCTGATCTTATTTATTCACGTCTCGAGCTTTGCTGGTGCTACCTTAGCGATGGAAATAAACCAACACAGAGTCTCGATCAGACACCTAGCAACAGAAACCTAGGTAGCAGTTCCCCCAACCACAGCCCCGGCCCAGAATATACCCACGGGTATCCCGTTAAATAAAGACTGGGAGATGCTGTAAAAAAACACAGATGACAAGTGGACATGGGATCATGTTTGGGTTCAGAGCTTCAATGTCAAAGTGTTAACATGTGATGACAGCGCACAGACGTGTTGAGCCATTCATTTCTACCACAGTCGTGTCCCGAATGGCCCAGGTCCAACATAAGCAGCTCTAAAACTAACTAGTTATAAAACATAACACATTAATCTATTTATTGAGTGATTGCTAACAACGCATATGTTGTGTGTAAGAGCCACATGTTGTTTGGTCATCCTTGTATTCTTAGAGCATGCAGAGCAGTCACTTCTTTTAGTGTATGTGATGATGCATCTCAGAACGACAATTTCGTCATTATTTATTAATATTCATTTTATTCTAAATTCTTTGTTCCGTGGAACACGAAATGAGGCGTTTCGAAGATTCTTAATGAAGATCTTTTCCATAAAAAAAAGAACAACAGAAGACATCATTGACACTGGTTCTTACATTGGTGTTTACAAAGAAAAATATTTCAATTTTTCCTTTCACTTTGGAGTGTTACAAGCTCTTCAAAGAGAAATCCAAAGAGATATTCTTTATAAAAGTTAAGAGTCAGCCACGCCTACCTAAAACGTCTCGTTCTAACACGCCCCCACATGTCTACATCACTATGTGGGAAGATTTGCATAACACTGCCCAAATGTTCACGCAAAGAAAGAAGGCGTAACTTTTATTCTCGCTGTAGTATTGTTGTTGCCGCCGTCATGTCGTGAAGGCGCTGTGTGATTCGTCCCTCTCCCACTTTTTTTCCCTCCCTTGCTTCACCCCCTTCAGTTTACGAAGCGGCGGTGAGATCTTTGGCCCTGAAACCTGATCTTATTTATTCACGTCTCGAGCTTTGCTGGTGCTACCTTAGCGATGGAAATAAACCAACACAGAGTCTCGATCAGACACCTAGCAACAGAAACCTAGGTAGCAGTTCCCCCAACCACAGCCCCGGCCCAGAATATACCCACGGGTATCCCGTTAAATAAAGACTGGGAGATGCTGTAAAAAAACACAGATGACAAGTGGACATGGGATCATGTTTGGGTTCAGAGCTTCAATGTCAAAGTGTTAACATGTGATGACAGCGCACAGACGTGTTGAGCCATTCATTTCTACCACAGTCGTGTCCCGAATGGCCCAGGTCCAACATAAGCAGCTCTAAAACTAACTAGTTATAAAACATAACACATTAATCTATTTATTGAGTGATTGCTAACAACGCATATGTTGTGTGTAAGAGCCACATGTTGTTTGGTCATCCTTGTATTCTTAGAGCATGCAGAGCAGTCACTTCTTTTAGTGTATGTGATGATGCATCTCAGAACGACAATTTCGTCAGTATTTATTAATATTCAGTTTATTCTAAATTCTTTGTTCCGTGGAACACGAAATGAGGCGTTTCGAAGATTCTTAATGAAGATCTTTTCCATAAAAAAAAGAACAACAGAAGACATCATTGACACTGGTTCTTACATTGGTGTTTACAAAGAAAAATATTTCAATTTTTCCTTTCACTTTGGAGTGTTACAAGCTCTTCAAAGAGAAATCCAAAGAGATATTCTTTATAAAAGTTAAGAGTCAGCCACGCCTACCTAAAACGTCTCGTTCTAACGGAGTCCAGCCCGGGGTCGTCACATGTGGTTGACACAAACCCGCCGGACGCTCCTTCGTCGAATCCACCACCTCTGCTCACTCTAGCCCTCCGACCGTTCCTCACTTTAGCCCCCGGCCTCTGCTCGCTCTAGGCCGCCGCTGCTCACTCTAGGCCACCTTGTGTGACGCTGTGTTTCATTGTGAAAGCGAAACTACTTTGTTTGGTCTTCCAAAAATGGACACGACTAGAAATCAGTG